TGCGCAAAGGACATAAAGTAATAGAATGCAGAAATAATTTTCGATGCAAACGATGCAATGGTCGTCATCATACATCACTTTGTCGAAAGGAAGATAACAACAGCAATACAACACAAAATCAAAGTCAACAAAATAGAATCCCAAATAGAGGGAACAATAGATTCAATCCATATGAAAAAAATGATACAACATCAAACAAAGAGCAAATAGAAAAATCACAAAGCAATATAGAAAACTCGTTAAGTGATCTACGTAAACTCACATTAGCCGTACTTCAAACACAAGAAAATTCTCCATTTCAAAGATTTTGCAATATGGCTATGCAACAGCAATCAAACTCAATACCACAATCAAGCTTAATACCACAACAAGCTGCAATTGCAGCAGGCCCAACACAATTAGCCATTCAAGCAGCTCCACAAGAAGAAATTAAACAGGAATCACAACAAAATTTAGCAAGTACATCTACGACAACATGACTAGAAGTAGTACGTATACGAGCATGCACAACCAAATGCATCATGTCTTCCACATTTCTAGAAACAGCTGAAATGATACACGAACCAACCAATACAAAAGTATATATACTATTAGATTCAGGAGCACAAGTAAATCTAATAACAAAAAAACTTGTAAATAAGCTCCAATTGAAGGAAACTCCAGCCTACAAAAACTATGATATAGTAGGGATAAATGTGAATGAAAGTGTTATGCGTTCGACAACTATAGCATCCCTCACCCTAAAATCACGAAAAAATCAAAACTTCGTTATACAAACAGAAGCGATAGTAGTACCACTATACACAAGTTGGAATACAACAAACCCAACATTACTACAAAACTTCTCAAACTTCAATAGTGACATAGCAGACCCAAGAATACTAACAACAAAAAGTATTGAATTTGACATATTACTAGGAGGCAAAGAACTTATAGCAGTTCATAATGTGCAAAATAACGTAATATACCGAGACAATACATTCCAACTACTTAACACCAACTTGGGAATAAAACCAAGAGGAACGCCAAAATATACTGAACCATGTAATACAACAACAAACAATATTGCAACATATCTAGCAAGAACAACAGAAACAACCGAAGACAAAATACTAAACACAAAAATTATAGAATATTTAGAATGGGAAAAAACACATTTCATTGATAAAGAAACGAAAACAATTGACGAACAAAATCAAGTAGAAGACTATATAACAAAAATAACACTCACAGATGGAAGAATTACAGCACCACTGCCAAAGAAAACACACTACAAAGAAATATGGAACCCAAATCTCCGTATGGGAGAAGTACGGATTCAGTCAGCAATAAAATTACTTGAAAAAGGTGGCAGATTAGCTGAAGAATACAAAAAATTCTTTGGTGACTGGATAGAAAACAAAGTACAGTGGGCCCCCATCTTACGTCATCAATCCGTTCCAGGATGGATGTCATAACATGGGGCCGTCATAAGTTGAAACCCTATTTCCCTTAAGATTACATTATAAAAAAATTAATTTGTTCCAGAAAAAAATATTAAACTAAAATTACCTTTATATTTCAAATTTTTAATTCCTCCTAAACTTAAATTCCTCCTAAACAAAATTATTCAGCTATAATTAAATGCACAGGGCAGTACAGAACACACAAATTTACAAGACGCAGATATTTCCAACCCTAAAATTGATGCAAAGAAAGTTCTTGGGCATTTCTCTCACCAAACTACCATCCATGTAGCTAATTAAAAAAAAATTACCTTTATATTTCAACTTTTTAATTCCTCCTAAACTTAAATTCCTCCTAAACAAAATTATTCAGCTATAATTAAGTGCACAGGGCAGTACAGAACACACAAAATTCAAAATCCCTCCTAAACACAATTATTCAGCAATAATGAAATGAACTGTGCAGCACACACAAAATTTAAAAAATGCTCTGAACACAGCAATTTCCAAACTTAAGGACAATTTATTTCCTGTGCATGGCGCCATCTCACACTATTAGCAGTTTAATCTGGCTAGGAATGAACCTTGGCACAAAAAAAACTCTTCCTCCCAGGAAAATCTTTGGAGCATGCATGGCGCCAAAAAAATGGTTGGTGGGAGGGAGCTGAAAAACCTCAGAAGCTGTCGTATCATGAAACTCCGACATAAGTTGGGGGTTTTTTAATATTTAAAAAAGCGTCGTAAGTTGAAACCGACGTAACATGGGCCCGTCGTAAGTTGGGGGCCCACTGTACATGAAAAAATTAAAAATTTCAATTTTCAACACTAATTTTAAACCAAAAGAAGTCTGTTTGGTGGATTTTGTCTGTTGGGTGGGTGGAAAAACTGTTTGCAGAGCTGGTCTGTTTGGCAAAAATCCCTTACACGGGAGGTCTGTTAGGTGGGGGGCCACTGTAATTGGTGCATTGAGAGTGTGTCCTTATGTCAAAATGTCCCCAAGTTGAGTTTTGTTTTCCCACGGAATTACATTTAATTTTGAATTCGTGTTTTATGGAAGAAATAATTCTTCAGAATTCCATGAAAAAGAATGTTTGCCACTTGAATTTGAATCAGTGAATATCTTTCAACTCAATAAGAACATTTAGCGCATTGAATATAGCGTACCTCTGTACAGTACATTGAAATGTTGGCATCTACAAAAATAACATTCAAGTCACAAATGGAGAAGGAAGTTGCCCTCTATAGGTTTTTTATCAAATTAGATGAATGGGTGGGAAAATGATGGGAGAATTACCAAAGAATTTCATCCAGCATAGCTCTTATGGTTGGAAATATTTGTTTCTTGCAATTAAGCCTAATGAAAGTCAATTTTCCTGAAATTTATTGGAAATTTTATCATGCATTGTCCACATGCTGAGTCAGTGTCCATATTTCAGACCTTTTTTGTGCCTTTCTCTTGAAAAATAAACATCCCTATGCCACAATAATTGTCTGCATGTGTGGCCTCACTTCACTATATTCCAGATATAATACACAGCAGAATTTGAATTTAGACACGAATCACACCTGTATCAAATCAATTTCCAAGCATTTCCATATAGAAATACATTTTTCTGTTAAAATCAACGAATTTTTGATGATCCGCATCTGTACTTCAAAGAAGTTTTTGCAAATTTTGAGAAAAAAGTCATGCATATAGTACTACAGTGAAAATAGCATCATTATGCCATGAGATTTTTGTCAGTGAGTGTGAAGCTAATTTATGATTTAAAATGTGATACAGTACCGTTACCCAGACACTTACTCCATTTCCGGGCAGTGAAACGGAAATCTGCTCTTTTTGCAACATCCAGACACAGCTACTGAACTCAGGGTCACAAAATATAACGCACAAAAACATTCCCTTTCAAGGTAAATCAACAGTTCATCCAATGAACAAGCAGCGACACCTACTCACCCATGCAGGAAAAACTGGCATCAATCTCAAAACAATTCAAGCTTAATGAGCTCACAATACTGTAATGTATTTCTTAGTTCAACTGACCTAATTCTAAGACCAAGGTAAGGTAACACTAACAGTTTGCTTCAGTTCAACACAATAAATTTGATAGCTTAATCTTCCATCATCTGTAAAATTGACAATACTGTACAGTACATGTTAAAAGCCATTTGATAATACAGTTGAACCTCTCCAAGTTAAATTCCAAGGTAAAAGAAAAAAATTAGACAGAGGTTTCAAATTTAGAAAACTCATCATTCCTGATTTATTCTTAAATAATTGAAGTAAGTTACAATAACTATTCTTTAAGCACAGGACAGAATGATGAAGAAATTGATGGGATGCTGAACTTAGAGGTAAGGATTTGTTTGCCCAATGATTAATTCCCTTCCTTTCTATAAGCAGCAAGTTACATTTTTATTGCTTTTCTTTCTCAATAAAATAATCCCAAAATGATCCTCAGAGAATTCAATGAATAAATGAATGAACAGAACACTATTCGCCGCTTTTCACCATTCACAAGGTTCAATCAAGATTTCCATATAACCAAACCCCCTTCCCACCCAAGCCAAATCCAATCAATGACATTTTAATCACTTCAGAGCAGGAAAGCACAAATTGATGACAAAAATAAAAGAAAGTACAATCCATGAAATACAACTGGACATCCAACATGTATGCATGCACCCATAGATATAAAAGCTTCAAAATGATCCTCAGAGAATTCAATGAATAAATGAATGAACAGAACACTATTCACCGCTTTTCACCATTCACAAGGTTCAATCAAGATTTACATATAACCAAACCCCCTTCCCACCCAAGCCAAATCCAAGCAATGACATTTTAATCACTTCAGAGCAGGAAAGCACAAATTGATAACAAAAATAAAAGAAAATACAATACAACATGAAATACAACTTGTGAACTTGACATGTATTAATTCAATTTATAAAGGTTTGAGAAGGAATGCTTTTCACTTTGGGAGGCATTTAATGCCTTGTTTCTCAAGATTTTGTGACAGGGACTTGAAAAAGTTGACATAGTGAGGTCCAATGGTATTATTCTTAAAATGATTTGGTTGTAAGAAAATATTAATGCATTTCCAAAATCATCCTTCACCAAGTCAACTTTCACACATCAAATGTAGCACATGGTTCAACAAAAAAAATCTAGAACCTAATGAGACTAAATAAGTGTGAAGAACCATGGAGTACCAACTCACCAGTCAAATGGCACACCATAGAAGTCACAGTGCCAGTGACAACAGAGACCAACAAGTAGGCCCTGATCAACTCCAGCAACTCAGCTTCATCCCTGTCCACCACATCAGTGGAGAATCTCAGGGAAGACCTCAACCCACTGGTAGTACCAGTACTGTCTTCCCCACCAACAGCTACTTCCTCTTCCAACTCCCCCCTGGAATCCATGCGCCACCACTTAGCTTTGGAAACCCCAGTCTCATATTTGCCCATGGGACAAAATGAAAAAAAGAAGTACCAAAAATTTTGGACCAAGAGTAAAGGGGGGACAAAAACCTTCACAGGTACAATCCACACATACACAAGATTAAATCAAGAGACCTTCAGATAAATCACTGTAACAAGGTTAATAGTAATCATCATCATCATGATGCCTCCTCCTGCCAATGCCTCCAGGGAGCTCAAATGGCATCTTGCCATTCATCACAGCATTCAGGAACAGGTAGTTGGCAAACACCAAGCAGGGGTAGTAGAAGCCTCTGTCTGTCACCAGGAATGGTGTCCTCAGGGCTCCATCTCTGCCTATGATGGTCAGTCCCAGTGCCAAAGCTACAGTTCCCACCAATAGTGGTTCATTGCCTCTTGCCAAGCCAATCATCCCAATCAAGTGGATGATGATACCCACAAATAATAAGCTACAATATGTCACCTGAAATGCAAGCAAAATAAATTTGGACACATACTGCTGAGGAGCAAAATAAGGAAGTATTTTCCTATTCATAACTGCCTAAATCAAATCAACCATTTCATGCATCTTTCTCACAGTATAACCAGTTATTCCACACAGACAAATTATTTTCGCACTCAAATTATTGTATTCACTCAATTAACATGCACCCCTGCACAAAATTCCTTATTTGTTGTTGAAAATTTGTAAATTAAAAAACTTAGAAATACTAATTTACAGGACACTCAAAGGAAAGGAAAATTTAATTGGTCGATCTACTTTTTCTAATTACTTTGCAATGATAACCAGGGATAATAAGGACAGCGATTTTTTAATTGGCAAAAAATTGGTACTGTATTCCAATATGAAAAAAAAACACCTCACTTCTCTGACCAGATTTATTGGTGAAAATTTGGGCAAATTATCCCTCACTTCCAACATCAGCATTTTGTACACACTTGCAAAGCAGTTTTACACACTTAAGATTACAAATTACATTTTCATGAAATTCTCAATACAAATCTCACCACAAAAAAATTCCAGGGACCATAAAAAATTTCATTGAAGAGAATCCCTTCAACAAGGGAGGAAAACCTCAAGCAAACAAACAGAAAATAGTTGTTCCAAGAAAATCATTGCAGACAAGATTATTTTAGAAATAGTCCACCTGTATCTGTATTCAGCAAAAAATAGCCGCTTTTGTAATTCTAAACATGAAGTCAAAATTTGATTGCTTGTTCCTTGGAAGTTAAAATTGCAACTGAACTTCAGTTCATTCTTGTTCTTCATTTTAACCATTTGCTTCACTTTTTGGTCTGAAATGCCAAGAAAGCAGCAAAACATGATAAAATTGCAGAGAAAGCTACAAAGAGCATGTAGTAGGCATAAAATTTGAGAGAAAAGAAGAGAAAGCTCCAGAAAACTGAAACACACCCACAGACCTTGTAGAAATACTTGGGAGACCAGTAACCAATAATGAGAAATGGGATCATCATGAGCATGGCCTTGTGAGCCATCATCAGCTTGTACATCCTGCAGATCTCAGCAGCAAAGCAAGGGAACCCAATAGATCCACAGTGGTAAGCGATCAGCCCAAAAAAGTACCTCATCGGTCCTGGCAAACTCTTCACTCCTACCACACAATATAAAACTTGCATCACAGTAAAATTCAATGAGAATTTCAGGACTGCATCAGGAAGGGAACCCATTCACAAGAAAATTCCACCTGAAGTACAGTCTAACCTCAATAACTCAACCCTCCTAAAGTCTAATTTTTCAAAATCTTTTTCTGGGTTCCTTAGAAATAATGCATTAAACCCTATCTTGACTCAAAAAGTTTTCCCGCCAAAATCCCAAAGTTTCTGGGGATCTTTTGACAATTATTTGATTGACACAGGAAAAAGAAAGGCAATAAAAATGTTACAATTTGTTTGGAAAGGAAGCAAAAAGCTAATTGGCCTACTGATCCATTGCATCCAACTTCAGCATCCTTTGCACTGATTCAAAAAGCAATTAAAATCCCTGTATATCACCTATTACGATTTCCTGCAACTCTTTCTCTCTTTCCCACAACAAAAAAGCTTCTTCTGCCAGCACAAATCATCAATCAAATATTTTCGCTGGTCCCTCGAAGTTTGACCAAGTGATTAGATTGAGGTCAGCCTCGATACTTTTCATAGACACAAACCTTTCTCAACGACCTTACAAAAGAAATCACTCACCAAATGCAAGACTGTTACAAAACCCAGCGATCGCGCAACTTCCAAACCACACATTTGCAAAGCTTCTCACTTCCAGATGGAAATCCTCGTCCCCAGGCACGGATCCACACGCTTGCAAAAACACCGCAGAACTCCCCATCAGCACCAGCGACGTCAACAACGCCACATAATCCGGACTTCGCGCTGCCAAATCCGCCATCTTCCCCAATTTCCCAGGCGCTAACTGCTAAAAAAAAACGAAAAGAGAACACCCCCAAAGCCTCCCCACGACCCCATCAGCAGGTTTCTTTTGAAATCAAGGGACACTTGCTGAAGGTTTGGCTGTAACCGAGTGTATTCTTCCTCTCCTGGTAGCAGATGATAATCAAGACCGGACACAAAACGAGCCAAAAAAAAAAAATGGGAGACGAGATAAAAACGCAACGTGCTTTTTTTTTGCTTACGAAGTCGAGTAAAATGAACCCCGCAAATGCCTTCCCACCGCCAGGTGTCACTCCTCTCTCTCTCTCACTCCACACACACAAACACTCACACCTAGGTACTTCCGAAGAAGAAAACGGACGAAAGTCCACAATTTCAACTTCAAGACCTGGATCGCGAGCGAGACTCTCTTTCCCGACTCGGAGAAGAATCGTTCTTCTTCTTGCTGGCCTCGGGAGACGAAGAACGGGAGTGAGAAGGAGATCTGGAGCGGGAATCGGAGCGGGAACGAGACCTTCGGGACCCTCCGCCTTCGGTCACGCGAATCCTCCTTCCGTCCACGTCCATCCCGTCGCAAAGCTTCAGCGCGTTCTTCATGTCCGACTTGCTCGCGAACTCAACCACACTGAAAAAAATAGGAGGCATTTCCCGTATGCAGTAAAATCTTGTTACAACAAATACCGTACACTCGAGGTCAATGCGCAACTTCCTTGAATCATTTTTATAAGGAAAAAAGGGGTGCACGTCATAGGAAGGTACAAATTTTCAAGAAGTTTCAGAAATTTTGATGAGCATTACACTTGATTCTAATGAGAAATTGTCGACGAAGTTTAACAGAAAAACATATTTCATTTAAACAATGGAAGATTCATCGATTTCATGACTGAATTAAAATTTGGGTGGTCTCATTTTCGATATAACGTGGTCCTAGACTCATTTAAAATGGGGTGAGCATCTTACTCAGGAGAGGAATTTTGTCAAAATCTTCAACAGAAAAATCCTTTCTTACCATCTTAGTTGAGGGCAAATGGTACTGAAGTACAGTAAACACAGTACCAATACAAAACATTCTTCAGTACAACGAACTGTTTCTCAAGTCCCACCACAAAGCCCACAGAGTACATGTTCAGAAAATCTCATTCTAACGAACTTCTCAATTCCAGCATAACAAACTTTTTCAGGAATGTTTTACTAGATTTTCCAGGTGGAAATTTCCTGAATAAGGCAGGCAGAGCCTGGAATTTATGATCCCAAATGTGACTGACTGGTTCTTGCAACATGAATGTATGATGCAATCCATGCTTCCAAGAGGTTCTACCAATCATCATCACAGAATGAAGTGATTGGTGCAACTGCAGGAATGCATGGTTGAAGCTAATTTGTTTTGAAATAATGCAGTGCTTCAACCAATGATGAAAGAATCTGAGCGTATCAGAAAAACAAAATCCAATTGCTTACAGACAGGTCCAAATAGAAACTTTCAGTGAATAAATTTGAGAATCTTGTGATGACAAATTTTTACAAACTTTTTCTGTGGTCCCAACAGTTTGTTGCTATGAGATTTTACTGTAGATCATCACTTTGACATAACAAATTCACTCACCCTTCACGACTACCCTGTTTGTCCGCATAAGTCACCTCTCCACCTTTCCTCATGATGTCCTTGAGATCCTGTGGGCAATTAACACAAATAATTCAAGCAAACATTTTAGACACACGTTCATCGCAACTATCAGCGTAACAGCAAGTTACTTGGCCTTACGAGTTCACGCCAGCTGCAATGGAATTCAATATCTTCGCGCATACGCTAAAACGATCATCCAAACTTGACTAACTCTTCTTACAAAATGCCGAAATCATTCAACGAGAGAAACGATCAATGCGTATCGATGTAGCAAAATTCATACCCAACTGGATGTGAGTTAACGCTTCACAGAGGTTGGGGATGAAAACGGAAGCGGAACGTCTTTCAATATTAAAGGACATAAACTTGTTCCACTTCATCGATCTCCATTTCCGAGTAAAGTCGGTCATCCATTACAAGAGCACGAGGATGTGCGTTCGATCGTTGGAATGGACGTAAATTTATGGTATTCGGAAGCCCAAGATGCCATGGATCCCCAAGATGAACCTCGTTTTGGGACGAGATCGGCGAAAAAAGTGCGACTCGGGCACTTTTTCCTCACGTTTCAAGTTTAAAAATCGCAAGCAAGTACTACGACTTGTACGAGAGAACTGCGTGAAAAGAACTAAGTTTAGGGATGAACGGGGACTCGGAATCGCTCACCTGCCAGCTAGTGTTGCTGCTCAAGTTGTCGATGTACAAGCGATAATCCGTCCTGGTCGAGGGCCCAAACCTTCGGAGCAAACGTGATGCAAGATAAGTCAACGCGAAGCGGATGAGACTAGGCTAGGTTTTTTAAGAGACGCCAGTGGGAAGCGGAAATCCCGTTCAGAAACAGGTCCTCTCGGTTCTCAAACACGGTCCAAGGGTTTCTACACTCGAGCACTCTGGGGCCTCAGGTTAATCGTTCTCCCTCGTTTTCGTTGAACCGGAGGCGACATGGGCCAATTCCACAAATCTCAGCTCTTTTTATATAACGGCGAACCCACCAGATTCAAATCTCCCGCTGCAAATGCACCAGGAAACCCGCGTCAACATCAAAAACCATAAGCCACAATCGCGACTGCTTTTTTTTTTCGTAACAACCCTGCCACGTGAGTACTCGAATCGCACCCGCGGAAAATTTCATCGTTTCAGAATGCAAGAAAGCAATGTACCTGTCATTCCGTCTGGAGTTGTTCGAGTCGCGACCACCACGTCCACCACCACCACCAAAAGATCGTCCACCGCGAAAGGTTCCACGTTTGCGACCACCTCTCGCCATTTCGACGCGCAATCTGTTTTCATCATTCAGAAAATAAAGTCAGTAACATTTCAAAAAGCCCATTGATGAAAGCCATACCTTTCGCCAAGGAGCTCTTTCCCATCCAAGTCGTGGCACGCATCTTCCGCGTCACGCTTTTCGTCGAACTCCTGCGTTATTTGAAAATCACGTCATCAGTTCAAGAAATCACAAGGGGCTGATAGAATGTTAACTCTTGATACTCACAACAAAGCCGTATCCGTTCTTCAGAAGGATCTCCCTCAGGCGTCCGTACTTGTGGAAGAATTTCTCGACATCACGCTCTCGCGTTTTTCCGTGAAGACCACCAATGTAGACACGACTCATGGTTTCGCAGTTCGAATCGGAATCAATGATTACGTGATCGCGACAGCGACTGTATTTCCTAAGGAGGATAGAAAATTCCATAAGCCGACACATACAGACGACTCACACACTCACACACACACATGACTTCACGTAATGAGAATTCAACGTAATCCTGTCGGAATAATCGTTTGCCATGAATCCCGAAGCTCGCAAGCAGTGCTTTATCGTTACATCTACTGCTTTGAGGACCAATTATGTAACCGTACGCGAATTCCACAGTTTCGCATAACGGATTCAAATATTTCGACAGTTGATCACTAATACGCAGTTGGGGCACTGGTTTCCATCCACCTAACATGGAAGCGACGTTCGCCACAACCTTGGGCACTCCCCGCCCCCTTTCGGAGCGGTGGGAATACAAGCATGGGCCCCGAACATCATCTTGCAGGAATATCAGACCCTATAGCATCAGCCCAAAATCGGAACCCGAGGGTTTGAAAAGTGTCCATCTCATCAAAAAATTGATTTCCCGTCATTCATGGATGGAATGAATTCTAATTCACGAAGAATTCGTTTTGAGCCACGAAAAACTTCAATGATTGAGGTCATTTCAAGAAGGAATATATGTATCTGAATACTCGGGTGAGATTTCATTTAACTAAATTCCCCAGGGGTAAACAATTTGTACAGTTCTCCCATTTTGATTGGAATGATCTAGAATTTACCATAAGTGGTTCGAAATTAAGTAAGCAAACAATAAATAACTCTTGAAGAAGATGCCCTGTTTTCCCTGCATAAAATTACTCTTTGCAACACATGATCTTGTCCATGATGCAAAAGTTAAGTTTCCAAAAAATTTCACTACAGTACTGTCTATGGATCAATTTAACTTCCACCAATTTTCAAAATGTATAACAGCCACTATATATAAATTCACCCGTTTTTTACTTGCCAACATCAACCTGCGGAAAAGTTGTTTTATCTGGTTTACAATTTCATATGGCAGACACAATTATAATTTCATTCGTAAATTTAAAATTGTTTTGATTATCTAAATTTTCTGCGGTTAAAAAAAAAACTCGTAGAACAATAATTCTTTATGAATTTTTCGGAAAGGATACTATAATAGCATAGTGACAATTTTCCACATAACATTAGTAATCTGCCAAAATGCTCTGACAGTGAGTAGGTGTGATTAAAAACTGCAAAATTTGTTTCTCAGTTGCTGAAATCTATACAGGATATGCAATACTGTAAATATACACTATGATACTGTAGTGTGATGTTCGCTTATTGGACATCCATTCAGATTAACAAACAGGGTTAAATACGGATTTCAGTACTGTATACCATCAAGTACATTACAGTCATGAAAAGTCCAGATAAGTTTGATCCAGGACAGATTCCTTGAAATTATTTCTGCAAAAATTCCTGCTTAAATTTCTATGAGAATGAAAACTATGAGACATCAACAACCATGGAAAGAAACATATTCCAGGATCAGTTCTCACTGCACTTCAAAACAATGACAAAATAATAAGCTTGCTTTGAATTTTGAAAGAACTTTTCCAAGACTTAAAAACTGTTTTTTATCTCCGCACAAAATGTAGATCCCTTGAGAATTGAAGGACAACTTATTCAAAAATATTGAATTAAAAATCACATCAAGAGATGCCCAAATTTTGTATTTTCCTTTTCAGCCCAAAGCCAGTTAACAAGGCCTACTAGCAGAACACACTTTTTTAGTCACAAAGCTCCAATGAACAAGATATAAGCACAATATTTCGCAACCAACGCACCAAAAAAATTGCAACAATTAACCAATACATTTCTCTGCAACCACAATAATTTCGACAAGAACCTCTATCCATAATCACAAACTGTCTTCTCACAAAAAAACACATTGCTGAATTCCCTCAGGAACCAATAAATTTAATTGCACTATTCAAAAACCTCGCAACAGTCACAAAATTGTTGCCACTTGAAAATCCATCACTTCCTCTTTGTCCGAAGTTCTTGATCATGATAATGATTTAAAAAACGGTGGGCTTCCTCAACCGGAAAAGTAAAAACTACGCCAAAACATTTGCCTCAGGCGGTGAAAATTGCTCGTTTGAGTGAGAAGGACCATTATTGCACAAAAAAAAAAACTCTTCTTCTAATGATCCAGGATACGGAGATTTCCCGAAATGATCTTGTTCTCCAAAACTGCGCCTTGAGGGATGTCGATTCTGTCGCCGTGATTCGCAATGATGATGACTGTTCCCTGTTCGTGAAGAAAAAGACAAGAAAACCTTTTGAATTTCAACGAACGATATTGTACCAAGTTCATTCAAGTTCATAAATTTTACAATGTGCATGCAAAAAAAATTGCGTGCGAATAATTCATACATCAGACGTTATTAAATAAGATTACCTGCTAATTAATCATTCTCATTTCAGTGTGAGGTCACAATAAAATAATCAAATACTGTACCTGCACTACTTAGGAAACATTTTGTTTCCTCAACCATCTTTCTCACATTTTGGGAAGTACCATATTCACTCAAGTACCACAAGTACCTTTTTCTCAAATCTGAGAAGAGGAAAAGAGGTTTTTCGCATCACAGGTAGGTAAACATTTTTATAAATTTGGGTGCGCATAAAACTTAATTCTAATGAGACAAAGTTCAACAGAAAAATCTCGTTTTTTACTGAAAAAAAAAGTGGAATTCAGGTTAATTGATGCCTAAATTCAAACTTGGGCGTTCTCCTTCTTGGAATATTCCGGTTTCACAGTCACTAAAAATTTAATGTACAGCAGTGTGTGTTTTACTTGGGGATATAATTTCATAGAAGTTTTCAACAGTAAAACTCTGGTGTGCATTTCACTCCCACTGAAAGAGGACATCCACCAAAGGGCGCTCTCAAAACCAATCACTCAATTTCAACTGGCTTTTTGGTAACTTCATATGCAAAAAATCAACTTCTGCAAATGTTTTATAAAAATGTACACTGAAAATCCCTAGTTCGATTCATCCAGGAAAAAATGAAGCATTTGAAACACCATAAATTCTACCACAACTTATTGAGGTGCTTCCCCTCCTAATGAAAGAGGAAATCCACCAGAGGGCGCTCTTTCAAAATTAAACACGCAACAACATAAATCCACAACTTCTTGAGAAGCCATTCCAACTCACTTTTTCATACAAAAATGTCAATGAAATAACCAATGAAAATATTTCATCGAAATTTTCATTACAAAAATCCAGGTTCGTGTTTTACTCGAAGGCAATTGCATTTAGGTGCGTTATCCAGGAAAAAATATAACGTGAATTCGGAAGAAGGTACATTTTACGAAGACTTATTGCGGAGTTTTTCCTCAATGAAATGGGGAACTCCACCAGAGGGCGCTCTCAAAACCAAGCACAAAATTTTAACTCAAGGTAAAAAAAAAAAAAATAAAACTTTCGAAATCTCTCATCGAAAAAATAATACAGTACAAGTCTCTTACAACAAATCTCGTCACTACGAATTTGTCGCTACAGAGAATTTTCATCAGGTCCCTGGAAGTTCGTTGTAACGAGATTTCTACCTTCAAATGAACGTGTCGTCCGAAATTGACATCGCCCGACACAGTGAGATGATCCAACTCCAGCACGTCCGGGATAGTCTCGAAACGACGCAAAAATTCCCGCACATTGTCGAAACTCGTGCCCAGTTTAATGAGCGGGGTTCCAGGGAACATCCTCAGGGGACTCATGGCCAAGGACCCATTCCGAAGACTGTACAAATTGCTCATCACCAACAGCAAGTCCTGCGACTTCTTCACTGGCAGGAACCGAGACCGAGGCACATTCACACCTACAAAAAAAATAAAATAAAAAAAATATATATATATACATATATACAGTAAATACAGTATAAAAATATATATTTCGGACAAAAATGATTTTTGAATAAAATACAATGACATCCAAGCTCAGGCAATTCAATTTCGCGCAAACAAAACTGAAAACTTTTCTGGCACATGATTTATACCCTTAATGAATGAAAGCCAGGATATTGTGTATCACCCCTTTTTCTCAATTTCATCAGGAGTAAAGAACTTTTGGTTTCTTCCATTCTCCAGTAAGAAAAGCCCCACCTATAAACTAAGCAAAAAGTTGTAAAACTAGGAAAAAAGGCAGCATGAGGAAACCAGATTGAAAAGCTCTGAGTGCAACTCTCTTTGTTTTTCTCTCGAATCTTTTTACTCATGTGACACACACACACTTTTTTTAATCAAAATCAAAAGGAAAACAGAGGGTGCATGTGTCAGGCAGGTACTGTATAAAATTTCTAAAAGCTTTGGTCAATTTCCTGTTGATTCCAACAATAATTTTGAATCAATTCATAAAGACAACATACAAATTTAAGTAAAGGAAAATTTGACAATTTCTAGTCAAAAGTAGAAATCTGATTTATTTTGTTTTCACTCTCTAAAAACGGGGTGAAGTCTTACTCAGGGATACACTTCTATCAACATTGTAGCCTGAAAAAAAATTTTGGTACTTCTCACCAGAGGGCGTGTGGTACTCAATTAAATACACTCACTGAAATTTCATGTGCAGGGAGAATGAATGGACTGACAGTGGTCATTTATAACTCATAGTGAGTGTCATTTTTGTTCTGCCTAAATATGTTAATTACAAGTAGATTATAAACTTGATTTTGATGAGCTGAGCTTTGAAATTGTGTGCAGGAGATTCCTTTCTTGGACTCTGATTGATGAAGTCTGAAAAAGTCTGCGAGATGAAAAAGCGGTAATTTTGTTTGTACTTGAAAAAGATATCATTCTTTCATCCCTACAAAAGAAAAACAGGAATGATGCTGATTAAACATATGCAATAATGCTTCGACTGAATATTACTACAGTGTTGTTTTTTCTTCCCCATTCGGCAACACTCACCTAATCCCTTTTCAAAGCATTTCATGGCTGAACCGACAGCAGTCTCCAACTGGATGACGTTCATTCCATGCGCCAAGCTCTTGTGATTCACTATGATCTCAGCATTCAAAATACCTGCCTCCAGGATTCGAGTGATTGCTAAAAGATGATTCAAAACACAAGTAAATTTCGTTAAAACAAGAATACCAGGACACGGAAGAAAATCATTATAACAAGACTAAGATGACATCGTAGACCTTGAAAAAAGAATTTGTTTCAAACAATAAAAATTTATAACAACATTCTGCTGTAAATTGAATCAACAAAATTTTCAAGCACTTTTTGACTCATTTAAAAGAAAGAACTATTTTCACGGAAAAAAGTGCATGAATACGTTTAAGTGCGGTTTATTACCTGCGATTTCGTTCGTCGTTTATTAAAATGTTCGAGTCATAATAAATCAAAAATTCGAAGTCTACACGAAATAATGAAATCTTTCCGAAATCCTGCTGCAAATCAATAACTTAAGTTTAACCATGAATGAATCATATTGGTTCTTGAAAACTTGAAAAAATAATCCATACCACTCAATTTGATCCACAGATTGTTGGTATTGAAAACCTTGAACATCTTCGCGGACTTGAAATCGTCCACATGCTGTTTTGGCACTTGCGCAATTTCCAGAAGACGCACTTTCCCGTCATACTTGATCAACGTACCACCCTGCAAAAAAAATCGAACAATTCAGAATGATTTTTGAAAAAAAAAATTTTTTTTTCTTTTTACATTTTCGAAGGAAAACCAATTTTTGAACCAACTGAACTCAAAAATGTCGCATCATTTTTTAGAAAAATTCCTCAAAAATCAAACAGCTGAAATTTAGTTTAAATCGTTTTTTACCCTTCTCTTGAACAAAAGGTCACGCGATTGGCTTATTATTCTTGTGACCCAGGAATGAGAAAAGCTATAAAACTTTAACTTGACGCTTTACAAAAAAAAATAAGGGCAGACTATTTTAGCAAATGAACCTTTGCCTCCAAGTTCAGCATTCCGTCAACTTCTCTACAAAGCAGTTTTGGGCCGAAAATTATCAACAACTTGGCCTCCCTTCGAATTGTTTGCCGATTCCTCGGAATTCGACTCGAAGCGGTTCAACTGAAGTAAACGTGTCAAATAGGCCCAGAAAAATGTTCGACCACTTATTCTCACGCAAAAAAAAACAACTTCAGAGGCATCTTCCGACAAAAGAAGTCATGCAAAAAATGGCAAGAAAATGAACCTTGACGTCGGCCCTCGTTTTATCAGTGAGCTCCATGAGAAATTCAGGTGCATTCGGATCTTCGGACTGGCAGAAAAAGTTCATGATGTTCAGGTCCACCGTGGCGCCCAAATTGTCAATGTTGGAGATGAAGCAAAATTCTCTGCCTTCCGCGAGAAACTCGCTCAACAGCCCAGAGTTGTAAAAGGACTCGTAGAAATCCCCGTGTCCCGGTGGATACCATCTAATAACACAAGCACAAGTTAACCAATAAAGTTCAAACCAATACAATATTTGAAAAAAATTTGAAGCATTTCGGCCGAGTCTGAACACACAGGCGACACCTACCCGACGCACCAGGAAAAAGGAGTCAAGAGGTTGAAGAGTTGCTTCACAGGAGTCAACTTATTCTAGGCTTTTCTCAAACATAAAATGGAGGCAATAGTGAAGGTATTCCTCGAGAGTTAATTATGCAAATCCTGAAGAAAATTTAGTCAATTCATACTTGGAACCTATCTGAATTATCTTCCAAATTATTTCAGGAGGAAAAATAAACCAGTAAAATGATTAATTCTCAGGGTTAATCGTGATACAAAAATTGATCAATCTCTTTGGAAAATTGTTGCCCCATTGCAATCACTACTGGAAGTCTACACATTTATGATCATACAATCACTGTCTCAATGGATTTCTGCATATTTTTGCCTGCACATTTTGGAATAAACAGAACTTTCCTTACTTTGAACCTGCCTTTCTACTAAAGAGTCATTTGTTTTGAAAAACCAATGATACAAAAGTACATGTGGGAGAAATAATTCTTTCTGGATCAACTTTTTCAGATTTGTTCTTTCAAAAAGAGGAAAATTCTTCCTGACATAATGCAGGTGGACTTTCTCCACAATGATCTTGTCTACAAGGATTTTCTCTGCATAAGAAATTTGTTTGTGTTCCCACAAGGATGGTAATACAGTAAGTGTTCTCTACAATTAACTTGTGTCTAGCCCTTGAATTTCCCTGCCCAGAGAGTCCACCTGCATTTATTTGAATGAAAAGCATATGCATTCTAAAATGGACCTAAGGAATTTCCAAAAACATACCATGTTGTGTACTATGTTTAAATCTAATTGTTTTCTACAGCAAGTTTTCATTCTTTGATGAGGTTGGAATGCTGCACCAGTTCAATTGTCATTAATTGAATACAGTAATTCATATGGCCTATGCACAGAATCAATGACCAAAATCTTTTAAAATGAGCGTGTAGCCTAAAATGAGTTTGTTAAAACAAGATTTTTTTTCAACTTAAGGTGTCTATGGAGAAACTGCCAGGACCAAGAAAAACAATTCTTTGTAATTAGATTTGTTGTCACAGGATTTTTAATGCATTTCCCACTTGCATGGTTGTGATGGCAATTGTGTTAATTTGGGACACCATGAGGAACCACCAATTTTTTTTGCAAATCTTAGGGATTAAACTTGCTCTTTAGTCGCAGAAAGGAAGTTTTAAATCATAAAAATGCTTGGCCAGAAATAGCCCCGCTCAAAAAAACAAACAAAAAATTACTGTATGTACAAGGTACGGTATATATTTTGACACGGGATTTTGACCTAGAATCATCTCAAAAATGCTCCAAGATTGTTCAGCCATTCCCATCGAATGCCACCTTGATAGCTGCCACTTTCTGGTCTCATTTATCACCATTTCAGACTTCCTTCATGTGCATCCACGCAAGAACTCTGAAAACCACTTTGATAATCGTCAATTATGGAAATAACCCTAAAAAAACTCTTTTAAAATTTATTTCGAAGATTTTCCTGGTCTTTGTGATCACGAAAGAAGATCCAAATTGTACACATCACTTTTTCAAAGTTTCCAGGCAGGAATGGAAGAAGTTATTCCTTCTTTTATCCGTTTTCTCTCAAAAATTAGAAAGAATAAGTATGTTAAAAAATTTTACGAAGAATAGGCAGTACTAGAAAACAGAAGTTCAAATTTTTAGGACAATTAGGAGGCCTAAAAATTTAGTTTAAAATGCTTTCAATTTAAAAAAAAATCAATTTTGTTCAAAGGTAAAAAGACACAAAAATCACAGAATTTGTAGAAATTCATTGGTTCCAAAAGTGGAAAAAGTTTCAAGTCAATCGAATGAGTATATGTCACTATAAATTGATTTTTCGAATTTTCAAAAATCCCTGAATTTCTTTCTTTTGAAATAGAAACTATATTTTCATTCCAAAATTTTAAAATTCTCACAATGCTTGATGATTACAACCCCTAAATTTTAATCAATTTTAACAGTTTTAAGGGGTTAAAAGAGTGGTTCATGTTAATTCAAGTTTTGTCAATTTTAAAATTTTGTGATTCTTACCATAAATTCGAAAATTTTGATACATTGTCATTAATGCTTGACAAGTGTGGGAAATTTCAGCAAGATTGGACATTTGAAAGTGGGTTAAATTCCAGTTGCAAACTTTAATAAAAAGGGATACCCATTAGACAGACATACATACCCCAAGTCAAGTTGAATAAAATTCTACAAAAAAAAAAATCGGGATGCGTCTCAGATTCGAATAAAAGTGATATGAAATTACTGTCAACATAGAAAAAACACAAAGAAACCCCATTTCAAAGTTCGCAAGCATCAGAGTTCCAGTGAAACCGAGAGCTCGAAAAAACGGTTCTCCCGAAATCTTCCCACGACAATTTCCAACATTTTCTCCCACTGAATACAGAAAAATAGATAAATGAAAAAAAACGCGACGAAAACTCACGCTTCCTGGTTGTCGTCAGTGTTGCAGGTTTTGGCGACTGGCATGAGCGATTCCTTGTTAATCCTCGGATACCGGCTTTGCATAAACGACTTGATAGTCACGTTTAAGTTTTTGTATTTCCGCAGCACTTTCTCGGTATCGTCGTCCGTGTTGAAAGAGTTCATCAACACCAACGGGACATTCGCTCCATACGTCTTGTTGAGAAACTGCGGGGAAACTCGATAACTTGAACCTTCAGACAAGGAGACGTGAACTTACACTTTTCTGTTCTTGTATTAAAAAAAAGCCATTTCAAAACGTGTTGAAATTTTGGCATTTTTTTGTGCGAAAAAAATAATTCATGGAATAATTTCGTACTGTGTCTTTCCCTTAAAAATTTTCGTTTTGTGTGTCTTGGATTATGCTGGGGAAACACTACGCTATTTTTCAATCGTGCTGAAATATTCCGGAAAATGCTCTTTTATTGTTGGGGAAAAGTCATTCCGATAAATGACAGAGCCAATTTTTTGGCATTTATTTTTTTTGGGAGTTGAATTTTGAAGTCCCCGTCTTAATATCTGTTAGAAACGATGCATTAAATTCCCCCACTCAAAACCTTCATCACTCGAATTTTCTGGAGATCTTTCAGCTATGAATTTATTCACACATAAGAGAAAAAATCAATAAAAAATCGTTACTTGATGCGTTTTGAAAAAAAATTGAATTGAAAGACTAATTGAGCAAATGATTGCCTCCAAGTTCAGCATCGTGTCAACTCGACTGTACATGGATGACTTTCAAATGACCCTTTTTTTTTGGAAAAAATCAAGTCATTAAAAAAATAAACCTCAATTTGTTGTACAGTGAGATCCAAGAAGGTCAGTTCTGATCGGACAGGGATCACCGACTTGGGTCCTTTGCATCCCATGGACGTTCCTAGGCCACCATTCAATTTCACCACGATCACCTTGTTCAACATGTCGCGGATTTTTGACGAATCCGGGGAATGCAAACTTCCGTAATCAATAATCTGCACAAATAAAAAAAAAATGGATTCCCAACGTGAAAAAAAAATTGGTAACAACACAGAAATGTTTGAATGCAAGTCATACGTGCAAAAATTAATTATATAATTTCACAAAATAGTAGCATTGAAAATGAAGCCACGAAAGTTAGTCCTACGTTATTGACATCAGTTATTCTCACGAGAATAAGACGCAATTATTTTATATTTCTAACTTCGACTCTCAGAAAATCAAGTTTCGGTCTTGAAATTGCATTTGAATCACTACTTCATGTGGTCCAAAAAATGCATGCTCAATCATAATTCATATCTTATTGAATACAGAATTATTTTCACACTAATGATACGTTTCAAGCATGACCACAAAGAAATACAGAAAGGCAGATGAAAAAATCATCTTGCACATCACAGGGTTGTCGGGATTAAATAGTACGCGGGTTGATACAAATTTTAAAAATTGTATTACTTTCCTCAAGATATTTTTAGGAATCTAATTCTCCGGTAGATTTTCAAACTACTGCAAAAGTTTACTCTATGAGACATGAAAATTGTCCCATTTTAGCAACATATATCCACTCACTTCACATCATGCTTAAAATTTTTCAATTTTTTTCTCTTTTATAATAATGTATCTTCCAACGAACTTGTAGAATTTTCCAAATTTTCAAACAATTGCTTTTCTTAAAATGAATACATTTTCAATCCTCACAATCATTTGCCAAATATAATTTTTTAAATCCTAAAATCAGTAAAATATTAGATTCACAAATTTATAATTAAATGTTCATTAGGATCAATCTCTACTCACAAATGAAAAATTTCCTGATTTATTCATTTATTGCAAAAAAATTAGCATTCAAATTTTTTGAAGATGTGAAAAGATGCAACCTTCAACAAAAAAAAATACGTATAAAATTTACTTTCTTACTCCAAGCATAATTTCGCTTGCTGAGTTGCTTCCTATTTCACGAAAAATCCCAGTGATATTTCAAAGTTTTCCACAGCAGCTCTACTTGTCAAATTGACGATGCAATAAACTTCGCGTACTTTCCCACCATTAAAATATGCACATATTTTCTTTAAAAAAAAAAAAAAAAACGTTCCCTTTGAAATACACGTACGTACAGTTTCTTCCGACACCCGCTCGATCCGCTCCCAACTAATAGCCGAGCTGGACTCGCTCAAAAACCTCGTGAAGATCTTCGAAAATCCCTCATACTCCTTCTGGATCAACTGCAAAATCCCAGATAAGTTAGCATCTCATGCAAAAAATCTGTATCGAATCAATAACCAAAAATATAAACTCACAGGTTTTTCCTCTGGCTTTGCAGTTTCAAGCAATTTCTGGAGTTCGTGTTCCAAGCGGTGCACGGCATCCATTTGCGTGAGCGCCTTGAATTGCGTCGCATCCGAAGATGGCTGCCGACGATGTGTCTGCAAAATGCCAAAAAAAAAGAACTAGAAATAATTTAAAAATCCAACCGTTAGATGATTTATCGTCTTACCCGGTCCCCATCACCAAGGAGTCCCATAGGATTTGACAACGTCATCGCGAATATCAACTTTCAAACAAGGATAATCTGCAGAATAAGGTGAAATTTAATATTCACGTCAATATATTGGGACCCTTTCCTTATAATTAAACTAGCTTAAAAACAGAAGAGGGCTTATATTCGCATAATAATGTAATGTCGCGTGAATATGCGTCTATACCACGAAATCATCTCGTTAGCGGCCCACAAAATGATAGAGCACTTGTCTTCACTATTTGAAATAAAATTCAAAAATTAAGAAGAAACTTCAGCTTTCAGCACTTGAAGATGCACGAGTCGTTGACTGAGAGGGGAAGATCACAGGTTGCGTGACACAGATTTTCCTTTCCTGATAAAAAGCTAAATTTATTCAGAAATTTCAAGTGCCGGGAAAGTCAGAACACCACAAAACCAAGTACGTATGAACTTATGAGTATGCATTCGCTCTTTCCTCCAAATCAAAACAGACATCGTAAAAGTGGAAGGAAAAGGTTCACTGAGCCCCGAAAACATTCACGAATTTGAACAAATGAATAATCACTCCGAAGCCTCAAACAAGCACAAAGAAAATCCAGCGCGACTAAAACTTCAAACCCTCGCTTCCAGAACATTCCGCGCAAAAACTGTCAATAAAGTTGGGGTCTACTGTACTTTAGCCATGCCAGTGAAACGCACTGTGCGCATCAAAGCTCGCGGCCATTAATTTTACCGTGCTGCCCTCTATGTACCCTTGCAAAGAGTGGCACATGACGCGGCTCAGTAAAAACAACACGGCGTCGTTTTTACTGAGCCGCGTCGTTTTTAATTTTGCCATGGCACACTATGAGCAGTTTAATTAGAGTAATTAGAGTTAATGACCACAACACAGCAAAGGCAACACCTGGAGAAGGCGCGCCAAGTGCAAATGCATAAGAACCCAAAAAATGTCATGGCAGCTCCCAAGTTTTTCTTAACTGGCTTTCTTGTCTGTATCCTATTTCTTTTGCGATGCAGAATATTGGTGAAGTGGATGATTTATGATTAAGTTGCTCAAGTGTCTTCTCGATTCCAAAGAAGAAACAAAAAACGCGGAAATGTTTCAGCGTCTTGATCCTCCCTTCGCGTTTTTTCGTTAGTTGTGGTCATTCCATTAACAGAAAGTTTATGTGATCCATTTCCAAATTTACAAATTCGTTTTGTTTTTGTTTGTTGAGTGTTGTGCAGATTTTTTTGAGTTATGAAGGCCATGAAAATACCTCAAAATGAAGAAAAAATGTCAGATCAATTTCTTCAATTTTGTTGCCAATGAATTCTAAGGAATTTGTTATATATATATATATATATTTTTTTTTTTAATTTGTTTTTTCTCATGTTGGGTGCAGGCAATAGCAGTCAAAAGATCAGTTCTTTATGGTCATTATTGTTTTTGAAATGCTAAAATGGGGTGCGCATCCTACTTGATAGGAGGGATAGGATTTAAAAAAAATTTTCATTGTGGCCTTATTAGTGGAGGGTGCCTGGTACTGGATTAAGTTGGGTATTCGAAATGTTTAAATGACATCCATGCATTCACAAAACACTGGGAATTGACAGGGATTCAAGAATCAATTCACTAGAGGATGTGTGAGAGTAAAGGTGAAAAATGTTTCTTTTGTCTATAAGTACAGTATTTAAAAATCTGACAATTGTGTTCCTCAATGAAATAATATTCAAAATATTTTCCAGTTATTACCCTCAAGTCCAAAAGACTCTTGCAGACATTCTTGAGTCCAAGAATGTCTGACTTTGGTAAGGAGCATACTGGCAAAATTAAAAACGACGCGGCTCAGTAAAAATGACGCCGCATTGTTTTTACTGAGCCGCGTCATGTGCCACTCTTTGCAAGGGTACATAGAGGGCAGCACGGTAAACTTAATGGCCGCATGCTTAGACGCGCACAGTGCGTTTCACTGGCATTGCTAAAGTACACTAGACCCTAAAATTGCACCACAGAAATAAGGACCACAAATCACTTCAGAATAGTAAGGGCCATCCCTTACCCCAACGTGCAACATCTAGGGAGGAAAGGTAGAACTGCGCATCTCAGGTGCACTCCACGTATCAGACCACGTGTCCAGTTCCCATTATCTTGAGGGAGATCAGGGGGACGCGTGCGCGGAGGAGCAGAACGAGACAGTGCGGCGTCACTCTAGTCTGAACTTCTGACCTGAACGTTTTGTTGAATCTCTGACCAAATTGATCTTGTGACTGTGTTTGAGAAGAATATATTTGAGTGTGTTAAAACACGAGTTGAGTCTGTCCACCAAGGAATAACCTTATTGGGGGCTCAAGCCACCTTTACGTCCTGTCTTTACATCTCCACCTATTGCCAACGTCTACCTTACAATGCCGAGAAATACCAAAAACTCCAAGGCCGCAGCTGCGGCTGCTCTCGTGGAGCTGGCTGCTGTTTTGGAAGAAGACGACGACGAGGTGTACGACGATCCAGGCTTGCCGCCAAGAGCGGAACAGGCGCCTTCACGGTTCTTGTCAGACACCACATCCAGTATTTGGGAAGCTCTGCCCCTCACCATGCTGCAGATGCTGGCTGACACGTACCACCTCGGACATCCGGAATTGGCTTCCAAAGCTGCTTACGCCGCCCAGTTGGAACGTTTTCAAATTCCCGTTACAGCCCTGCGGGACCTGCTTTGCCCAGGAGAGGGAGCCGTTCTTTGACCACGACAGGAGGAGAACAACGAGGAATTTGCTCTGCACTCCTTACCGGTTCAACGCCCGCAATGGCTTATGGAACTGCAGACACCTAACCTACCCAAGCAACGGTCCGACAAGGACGTCAAAGACTACGCAATGCGCCTTTGCAACATGCTGGCAGTGGGGAAGGTCACGTATGATCATCGGATTTGCTGCTTGCTGAACAACACGCTGCATCACTTTCAATCAACGGCAAACCGTATGTATAAACGCGGTTTTACCGACTTCGAATCCTTAGTTGCAGCCATCAGCAAACAACACCCGACTCCACACCTGGATCGCCTGCAGCGATTCCGAAGTCTCAAACCGGAGGACGGGGAAAGCTACTTCAACTTTGGCGAGCGGTTGCGAGAAGAGTACGAGACATATCTACAACTGCCTTCTGATGACATCATTGTGGGTGACCCCATTCTACAACACGTCCTGAAGGAACAGCTGCTGAATTCCGCCAACGGCGGGTTGAAGGACAAACTTCAGCGCAAATGGTCGAAGAACAGGATGCTGACGTGGGATGAACTTGTGGATGTGGCGGAAGCATATTGCCTCAACCATTGCACAACAACAAACAACAATGGCTCCACTAAGGGGACCGGGTCACGGAGTCGCTCCAACCTGCCACCCAAGCAGTGGTGCAAACATCACGAACAGAATATGCGGCATGGGACTCACGAATGCTGTCTGCGGGGACAACAGGGACTTTCATCGGAACAGGATTCATCGTCTTCGAGATCAAACAATGGCGGCGCTAATGCGTCTTCTAATTGCTCCGAGAATTCCTCGACAAATTGTTTTCATTGCCAAAAGCCAGGGCATTACGCGGGCAAATGTCCCCAGGTCCAGGGAAACGCAAAAGCGTCACAGTGAACGCGGCGCACTGTTTTGTAACAACCCTACCCACTGCTCCTCCTCCAATTTTAGTTCTGCTTTCAATTTGCCGTCAGTCTTTTTCTTTGCTCTTGGACACCGGTGCCTTGCATTCCGTCATTTTGGAAGCTGTCGCGAACCAGTGTGCCTTCCCAACTTGTCTGTTATTGACCTCCATGGCCACCGCCCTTGGACCGGACGCAATCCAGGTAATGCGAATGCTTGCAACCGACTTTTTGTTTCAGGGAACCCAACATTGGGGTTTCTTTTTGATTTTACCCGGCATGAGGGATTTTTCAGTTATTTTGAGATGCTCCATGCTGCTACAGTTACCACTTGCGATCACCTTGGATGGTTGACACGTTTTTACGGGGTTCCACGAGATCATGCGAGCTCCCTCTTGTCCTACGCTCGCCCCAGGGGAGGGTATTCCTTTCGTTGTTGGCTTCGCTGGCGAACAAGACCGCATTTCACGGATCTTACGGGCTCACACCCTGTTGATTTGGCAGTGGTCCGGCCGCCGTGGGCTTTTTGTGGACCATGTCATCCGAATTCCGACTATCAAAGCTTCCCCCCCGCGGCGCGCCAGTTCCGACATTCTGTGGAGCGCAACGCCCCTTTTGCCAAAATAATTGATTTGTATTTAGAAGCAGGTATTTTAGAGGCAGCTGCGTCTCCCTACAACGCCCTGGCCTTTCTCGTCAACAAGAAGTGTAAGGACCCGCAGGCTCCCATCGAAAAATGCTTCAGGCTCGTCGAAGATTACTCCGAGCTGAACAAGCTGATACTGCCCGATAACTACCCAATGCCCACCGTCCAGGGGCTGTTGGAAGCCCTGGGGCGTAACAACCAGTACTTCTGTACTTTGGACCTTCATGCAGGCTTTCATAACCTGCCGATTGCTCAGGAGGACAGGCCAAAAATGGCCTTCATGTCCCCCCGTGGCCAGGTACAATATAAAGTATTACCCTTTGGGCTCAAAACGGGCCCAGCTCTTTTTCAGCGGACAGTCAACACCATCCTACGCCCACTGCTCTTCAAGAAATGTCTTGCCTACGTTGACGACGTGATCGTTTTCGGCAAAACTTTTGAGATCCTCTGCGAAAATCTGGAAGCCGTCCTTAGCGCCCTGCAAGATGCAGGCGCATGCATTGACATTTTGAAATCATTGTTTCTTGCCCGCAAAACTCTCTTTCTAGGGTATGAAGTGGACCAAACAGGCAGCCGCCCGGCGGAACTCAACATTGACGCAGTGCGCAAATATCCACGACCCAAAACCAGGAGACAGATGCAGCAGTTCCTTGGCATGGCTACATACCTCCGTGCCCATCTGCCAACCAATTTTGCCGATGCCGATAAAGCCCTGCGACGGACCATTCCACAGAAGCCCGCCACCAAACTGATGTGGACTTCCAAAGCGGACCGAGCGTTCATCCATATCAAGGATGTGTTGGCCGATACCGCTAGATTGGAACGGGTGGACCCGTCCTGGACAATCTCAGTCCATTGCAACGCCTCAGCCATTTCACTGGGCGCCGTCCTGGTGCAAACAGACCCCAACGGGAACAATTGTGTAATTGAGTATGCGAGTCGGACGTTGAAAGACGCCAAAACCCGCTACTCAAATACGGAACGCAAACTCCTGGCGGTCGTCTGGAGTGTGACAAAAAAGTTTTGCCATCATTTAATTTATCGTAAATTCCGTGTTTTTACAGATCATATGGCTCTTCTGGGCAAGCTACAGTCAGAGAGACTCATCAGCCTACAGGCAAAACTTGTAACCTTTGACTACAAACTGGTGCACAGGCCCGGGCATTCGCTTCAAGCTCCCGACGCATTGCGCCGTATCTCGCTGAACCAAGCAGACGCCCTCCCGGTACCCACTGAAGAGGAAAGAATAAAAATCATCAACGCATATCATCAAGAGCTGGGCCACGCTGGCTGGAAGAAGGTTCTTGCTACCCTTTGTGAGCAATTCTTCTGGCCAAAAATGCGCCAGGAAGTATGGAAACGCATTCTCTCCTGCGACCTGTGCTTCACCTACAACCAGCCTACGCAAACCGTCGGCGTTCCCATGAGTGCCGTGGAGTCCAACAGACCTCACAAATGCTTAGTGCTGGATTTTTATGGCCCCCTCCCCAAGTCTGCCAAAAACTACAGGTATGCGATCGTCGCCGTTGACCACTTCAGTAAGTACATGATTGCGCAACCAATTGTGGCCGCGGATTCCTAAACCGTCATTCCGTTCTTAGCTGAAGTATTTTGCCAGGATGGCTTATTTGAGATTGTACATTCCGATTGTGACTCTGTCTTTACGGGTAACGCCTTTTGGCATTTCTTGAGAGGTTACGAGATCACCCAGCATGTAGCACAACCGACACACCCGGAGGGCAACGGATGCTGCGAACGTTCAATACGGACGCTGACCCAGATCCAGGCAAAAGCGGTTCAAGGGGACAACCCTACCTGGCCCGCCCACCTACCGGCATTGGTTAAGTCTTACAATAATACCATTCATTTGGCTACAGGCATCACTCCAACCGAGGCAATGTTTGGACGTTGATCCATTTTGGAGGCCGACACAACCTTCGGAGTAACCCTACCGCCCCTTGAGGAATCCCAGGATGTCATACAGCAACGCTCCGCCACGCATAGAACCAGGTTCATTGAGCAGGCGAACAAGAGCAAGGGACGTCACTTTTTGCCAGGCGAAATGATTGAGGTCTACCCTCGCATCCCTACTACCCAACAGCATGCTGCTAATCGCCACTTTTGGCCTAAACGAATCGGCCCCTTTGTTGTGTTGTCTTACCAGGGTGAAGGAGAATACCACGTCGGAGCAGGGGCCACCGTCCGCCGTGTAAACGCGTGGGAGATGGTTCCCTACAGGGGACTACCACTACCTCCGGAACCAGGATTCGACAAATACTTGGGCCTCATTGACCATGCCTCGGGACAGGACACCATCGTCTGGCCCACTGACCACTCCTACACAAAGCCGCCCCAAATGGCGCCATCCGAGGAACAGAGGACCACCGGCCTGGACCATGCATACAGCAGGGCCGCCATGCAGCCACCGACGCCAGCCCCCGTGCTGCAGCATCATCCTTACAGGAGAACCAAGCACTCATCGCGCCAAATTTCCCAAAAGCCGCGTCTTTTCAGGGGGGGGGGGGGAGAGTAAGGGCCATCCCTTACCCCAACGCGCAACATCTAGGGAGGAAAGGTAGAACCGCGCATCTCAGGTGCACTCCACTTATCAGACCACGTGTCGGACCGCGTGTCCGGTTCCTGTTATCTTGAGGGAGATCAGGGGGACGCGTGCGCGGAGGAGCGGAACGAGACAGTGCGGCGTCACTCTAGTCTGAACTTCTGACCTGAACGTTCTGTTGAATCTCTGACCAAATTGATCTTGTGACTGTGTTTGAGAAGAATATACTTGTGTGTGTTAAATTAGTTAAAACACGAGTTGAGTCTGTCCACCAGGGAATAACCTTATTGAATATTTCACCACGCGTGGTTACATCACTGTAGTTCACAAGAAAAAACCAGGTAGCATGAAAAGCTCCGAAGGAATCCAAGCATGAACACCGCTTCACTCATGATCAAGAACCGCGACGATTATACACCGCCGAAGAAACGCGTGTTCCCGTTGGGAATATGCAACACACAGTTTTTCACCGAGTTCACGTAACACGAGTTCAGTGTTGACCAGAACTCTGCGCAATTCATGCTACTTACCTAAAAACATGTTTCCAGAATTGATTCCTCAGTGTTGGAGAGAGCGAGACAGTGAATCGAGAAACGATGTCATTTCACAAATTTATCACTAAGCTCATCCATATTGATCGAAAAACCACTCTGTGTTGGATTAGATTGTGTGTGAGTGCCGGAAGATTTTTCACTGGGATCAACGTGAATGCAAATTAAGGGTTGACGCGATTTATTGAAATTCTGCAAGGATTCGTCGCGATCTTTGCAATTTTTTTTTCAGCTTTCGAAAGACGGAGGGTCGAGAATATGCGGCATACACGTGACGAAAATTTTCCCAGACTTTCTCTACAAAATTAATCAAATTTTGAAGAAAAAAAATGTTTTTTCAATCGAAAAAATAATTTGCTATCACTATTCACTTAGTTCATCCCAGAGTGCCAGAAACCGAATTTCAGAGTGAAATCTCCGGAAGACTTGCTCATTGTTTTCCTGCACTCCATTTTAAATGGATGAAGGTTGAAATGAGGGCGAGCTCTAACTGATCGGAAACCAGTTATTCACCGGACGCTTGAATTTATAAAAGCAGGAATTTCTTGCTCACCGAAAGGGAACGAAAACGTCTTCAAGTAGACGTTAGAACCAATATTCTTTCCCATTCAAACAAAACCTAATAGAAATTGACGCAATAAAATGAATTCGTCCGGTGGGACGCTCAAATAACGATAAATCACTCGGAGCACCGATTTACTACGATTAAAAAAATGCAACATTCTATGTATATTACCGATTTATCACCGAACTCTTCAGTGAGCTTGAAGAAGACAATATCTTTGTGTAATCGTTAAAGATCAGGCGATGTTGGAAGACTTGAAAGTTGAAACATCACAATTATTGCGCTAAAAGAACTTCAATACACTCACAAAAGACCACCAACTTCATGAAATTTGGGAGGCAGTTCCGTATGTGCAAGTTGCAACACTGAAACAATTCACGAACTGTATCTTCACACCTGGATCACTTCGCAGGCGAAAGAGATCGTGGATTCGATTGACAAGAAATGCAACCGCAATCGCGGCAGTTTGGAAATCAGGTACTCGGTGAAATCTCGCCGTACACCTTCGACTTTGCACTGACGGGAATCGCAGTCGCCGCATTCCTCATTTTCGCGATACGGATTTTGACGAACCTCATTCGCAGAAACACAACCGGAAGAAGGTAAATCCTGCTTTCTCTCATGAGTCCTGTTAACAAGAACTTAAGAAGCAGACGGAATGACTAATTAAGATCAATAAACACGTCAGAGATATGGATGAAAATGTTGTAAATTATTTTAAACCTGAATTTTCCGAACATGCAACCGAAGATAACAGGTTGATGTTTAGCAAAACAGGTTAAATTTGCAAGCTACCTCGTTCAAATGCTTCTGCTCGAAACACTGCAAGTACGAGGAATCTTTCACTTACAATTCACAGTAAAGAAAATCTTTCGGTTGGTTTCGATCTTAATTAAACATGAATGATACCGTAAATTCTTAGCTGAAAAATATGTTAAGCAACTTCTGAAAGCTCAAACAGCTACTTTTACTTCGGGGGACACTTCGAATTCCTTCCTCTATTAAAATTAATCACTCATCGATTGGTAGAAAATAATTCAATTGAAAAAAATGTCCCGATTGAAGTAGACAAGAAACTTGGCTTCGTTAAACACCTCCTGAAAGCAACACGTTTCAGGGCTTGAATCAATTCAATTAATATTCATTGGAATTCGTCAGAGGTTATAATTTTTGATGATTAACCCGTTTTTGAAAAAGCGGAGTATCAATGATGATTCCGGAAGATATTCGGGTGCTGACCGAAGAAGTGTTGCCAGCGGTGGAACGTAACTGGACTCAGGTACCGCCTTTCGCACCGGAAGTCGCGCAACTCGGATTTTTCATGCTTTGGGATTTCTGGAAACAGAGATTAATCAATTGGGACAATGATAATCCACGCAGAATTTGCAAAAGCTACAAAACAGTGAACAGCGACCAAAAACTACGTTTCTACAGCGCAATGTGAGTAACGAGAACGCCACGAGAAAAAAGTCCAGTTCCTCGTGAACATTTTTCTTCAACAAATAGGAAATCTTGGGAATATTTGGCAAAACTTGGCGTATCTTGGATTCAGCCGTATCTTAAAGCCACCAGAAGTGGACTTGAAGGTTTCCGTTGCGAGGAATTACCCAACGAGCTTTTAAATTGAACTGGAATCACATGAAAATCACCGTTCGCTTCGCTATTTCGATCTCAAAAATATCAGAACATAATTTTGAACATGTCCTGTGAATAACTCAGCTCAAAAACAGTCTGCCAGTGAAGTATATCGGTAAATTCAGATCTGGAAATGACTGATACGGATCGCCGAGAAAAACCCTTGAATTAGAGCAATGAAAAGCGCAGCATTTAGCGTTGTGTCGCCGTCACACCTCACAAAGATTAATTGGCGACAGAGACTGTAATCTATCTCAAAAACCGCAAGTTCCGCTAGAATATCCACAAAGCCGTGACGAAGACTGAACTAGGGATCACTCGGACCGGAACAGAAGCTCTTTTTCACTGCCGAATCCAAGCGAAATCCCCAACAGTGATTCTCCGGAGTCCTTCGGTGCACGTGATTCACTGTCTTCGCGTCCAAAATTCATTACCAGTGAACCAAAACTTCGGTGAGAAGTTCACACCTTGACACGTCACAGTGGTGATGAGGGAATGGAGAACTATCAGGAATCCGGATCAGTGAAGGATCTCAAAAATCAATTGAGCCATCGACAAGGATACTACCCTTTGTATCAGCCTCCGACTTACTTGGGAACCATTTCCGTGCAAACATTTGACGTCGCACTGACTGGAATCGCTGTCGTGGCCTTCCTCACGTACGCACTTCGATTACTTGTCACGGCCATTCGCGGTACTGGACGAAAGAAAAGAAGTGCTTCCAATGGAAATATTCCAGAACACTTTCCACCCTTGAGTGATTTCATGGAGACACTGCCGAAATTTGCGCCGGAATTCGGCATCACGGGATTGGAGTTGCTTGTCGATTTCTGGACTCACGAGGGCAAATTCCAAATTTGCTCCCAGTACACACGCTTGGGTAATTCGACTGGATCGGAAAATTACCAGAGAGCTCTGTGAGTTTTCAATTTTCACTTTCATCTTTTTCAAATGTTTTGTTCCAAACTTTTTTATTCATTTCCGCGAAATTTTTAAAATTTTACTATCGCTGTGTAATCAAGCAACCTCCACACTTTGGCTTATTTTACATCCGTCCGGTTGTTATGTTATTGAAGCCAAATACTGTATTGTACTGCAGTACAGTGATCTCTTTAGGAACACATTTTTATCTATGCATAGATTACATTACTGTACCTACAAAACATTCATGATAATTTTGCATGATGGTCGATTTAAGAAATGCCACTTATCGTGAATATTATTCTTTTTACATGTGTATACTGTACAAAAGTAATCCTATTTTACGATAAAATATCCTTAAGCTCATATACACAGTATAGTAAAATCTTATTTGTTACAACAAACTTCAAGATAAAAAAATTGTTTTCAACAAGCTAACATTTTGTTGCATTGAGATTCATGATCTTCAACACATTTTAGACTGAACTTTTGTTGGAAATAGATACTAAATACTTCAAATAAAATGCTGCCACTATAAAGATAATTTAAAAACTGTAATAATATATAATAAGTCTCTGCTGATGAAATGAAGCGGACAAATTTTAAAAATATAGTGAAGTACATTTTCTTTTTTGAACCTGCATTTTCAACTCTATTAGAGTTCAACTTATTGTGTTTAAAAAAAATGAAACACAATAAAACCAGTGCATACATGTGAAATATAAAATTACTGTATATAAACAATACTTATTCCTTTTTTCTGAATCATAACTTACTCATTCATTCCTGTTCTCTCTAATAATTGAATATTTGTTTCAACATGCTTTAAATTTGAAGGAGAAGCAGAAATTCTCAAATGGAGCTAAAGAATTTCCATGAAATATTCCATCTTCTGCATTTTTCGCTGTTGAACACATTAAAATGTTTTTTGCAGAAACATTTGCTCCCTTGATGAAGTTGGAATAATGCTGCACACCAGTTCATTTTTCATTTTTCTGCCATAAATAAGCCCTATATGCCTATGTGCAGAATCAGGACTGCAAAATAATCATTATACAGTACTAAGATCGCAGTCTAAAACTATTTTTATAAAATAAGAATATTATAACATGGTGCATATGGAGAAACTGCTCAAACCAAAGAAAAACTTCTCATAAAAAGATTTGTTGTAATGGACTCTATCTGTACTGGTGTGCATGGTTGGATTGAGCTATCCTTGAGAGAGAAAAATTAATTGGCATTTATTGCTGAAATTTATTTGGCCAACTATATTACAGAGACTCCTGGAGGATCTTCTCTGATTTTGGTGTAACATGGATCATTCCTTATTTGGAAGCTGCACAAGCTGGATTAGAAAACAGGCCCTGCCAGGATTTCTCTGGAGGATGAATGCAAAGATTGCAAACAGAAGATTTTATTTTCTACAAAAGCATCATGTCTGTGATATGTTTGTGTTTTCCTCAAGGTGTATACTTTGCATATCAACTCTCAGATTTCAAGCAACAGCAACTGCTGCTGGAACTAATTCAACACTTTAACTCCATAAATTTATATACATACAATCATTGATGCATTATTTAACCATCCTGAAAAAGCAATTGACACAGTTGTTCTGGATGGTCAGCCAAGCAGTTCAGGCTTTACTTGAGCTCCCATAATGTGCACTGTGCAGAAAGTGTATCTTCACTGTTATAATTGGAGACCTGACCAGCACATGGTCACACTGTCAGCAGTGATTATTTTTCTTAAATACCTTATTGTTAAACTTTGTTTTTTTTTCCTGAGAAGCTGTGTTTATGGCAGATTTTGTAGTATAATGTACCCAAATTCATCCATGAGAAGTTGTGTTGGTTCAATTTGAGTCCTGTGCTTGTGTATAAATGAGCTCAAGAATAAAAGTTCCTCATCCATTTTGCAGGTAGTAGTCAAGATTTTGGAAAATATGTCAAATAGTGTAGATGTTTCTTCATTGTTGAGTTTCTTGACAACACCTGAATACAATCCCACTGCTGCTGTTGGCAACCAGCAGCAACAGCAAATTGGTGCAGGGGTTTCAAGTTCAGGACAAGGCTTGTATCAGCAGCAAGGACAGGGTCAAACAAACTTTCCAGGAGCACCTGGAGTATGGCTCCTGCCATCTGGAGCTGTTGCATCTAAAAACCAGTAAGATCATCTTCATCATTCTCATAGAATAGCATTCTCCAACCTTCTTGGACCAGCAAATTTCCCAAAAATTTTTGCAGACTGGCAAAGTTTCATAAAATTTTTGCAAACTCAAAAAAGTTTCTGCTATTTGCAAAAAATGAAGTTGAGAACCAATGAAACAGATTTTGTGGAATGACTTAAAAAAATAAAAAGGTAAGCTTGAAGGAATGTTTCTCAGAGTGAAAAGTTGAAGTAATTTGTTTCAGCAGGTGAAAATTTGTCTGAAGTTTTAATAAGAGAAAAGCCAACTTTTATTTTTTCATCAGATAATTTCAACTGCCATGGTCTTTCCAAAATTTCAGATAACAATAACAGACTTCATTGCTACTTTTGATAAATTCATTAAGCTGAAGAAATTTCCTGTGGACCTGCAAAACACTTCTGTGGATCATGGGTTGGGAACACTGCCAAAGAACATACATGATTGCCAATTCATGGTACTTTTTATTCTTAGATATGGCAATTCTTTATTGGAACCTCTGCAGCAGCAGGAAAACTCCTTGAGGACATCCAGTCTATCATGGCCAAGCTCTTCATCCTTTGGCAGCATCTCACCAGCAGCAGTTGCTCCAAGACCCCTTGACAGTGGACTGAACCAACTGTTTTCCTTTGACAACATCCTAGTGTCCATCTCCTTCTTGTCCTTCTCAGCCTTCCTCATAGTCTACATCATCAGACTCATCAATCCTGCTGCTGGGCGCAAAAACAGGATGGCACTTGATGATGCAGAGCCACTACCTGAACCAAGTTTCCTGGAGGTGCTACTGGACCCACAGACCAACATTCAGATCCTGGTGGAAGCAGTTGGCCAAGTTATTTCTCACCTCACCAAAGCAGTCACCAGACTTTTTTCAAGCTTCCCCAAGGCTGTAGAAATGACAGTCTTGGATATTGTGGGTACTTCCAGAGGAGGTGATCTTGGTGTGACTTGAACTATATTCAGTGGACCCATTGGTTAACAAACTGATCAGTAGAAAATATCTTCTGTTGACAAACTAAAAAAAATCCCTCAGTAGAAAAGCAAAAAATTTGGTTAACAAAGTTCTTTTCTGGGTATAAATCCCAAATTTGAGAATTAAAAATTGGACACTGACATTTATGATACAATCTAAGTGCAATTAATTGACCTGTGCACTGAAATGCAAATTCATTCCTCCTGATGTCAATTTGATATGCCTAGTTTTGTGTTTAGAAATCTGTTTCAGCTACATTATTCATATGCTGTTCTGTGACATGATTATTTGCTTTTCTGTGTTTGTTCTAATTTTTCTATAGATGAACTTGATAAATTGTTAGAAAGGTTCATTTTATCCTCACTTGCAGCATTAGATAAAGAAATATAATTTACTTCTGACATGTTCCCTTCAATGTGTGTTTCTCTAAATGTGAATCTTTTTATCTTTGTTTTCATCAGTGCTAATTCCATAAAAAACTGAAAACATTCTGGACACATACAAGATGCATCAACAATGTATCCTGCTTTGATGTTCTTGAATTTTTTTTTAAATATTCAATGGTGAAGTGTCTTCTGGGTTCCCAGAGTGGATCCCCATTGAAGTATATGGGCAAATCAAATTTGGTTACAAACTTTTGCCAGGAACTAGTTCAGTTTGTTAACTGAGGGTCCACTGTTGCATATACACATTGTGTAGACCTGGCATTTGTACAAATATACCCCATGTAATTGTGAAGCCCCATCTTTTTTTTTATTGAGGATCAAAAAATTTGAGAATTGTGCGCGCTAAAACAGCAGAAGCATAACCCTCAGTGCACATGTATGAAGTAAGAATAGCATAAATAAAGTCACCAGCCACAGCTATGTTCTTATGAGTGTACCAGCTGTATGTGACCAGCTTGTTGATCTCAGGCTTCAATGCAATGTAGGTCTTGTCCTGCAAGTCAAGCCTGAAAAACTCCTTGTAAGGGTAGTCAATGTCTATGTTGTAAGATGGTCCTTGAGCTGTAAGATTTTCAAGTGGATGTTCAAGTAAAATACCACAGCAGTCCACCATCAATAGATTTACCTGCACCTCTGGTCACAAATAGCTCCACTTCATCCAAAAAGAACCAAGGTGTTGCCATGGAGTAAAATACAGTGTAAATAGTTGTGGACACTGGCATTGGTCTCCCTCTCATACCCAAAAAGAAGGCTGCACATGAGGTATACTCAATTGCATGGCCAACTCTTGACAACAAGACTGTCATTAAACTCTAAATATATAAACAAAAAATGGATCACATTCATGGCAAAGGGAATATTACTGAACATTTTGCACCTGGAACACAAAGAATTCCCTGGATGCTCTCTCCTGAAAGTCCACACCAATGAGAGTGGTCTCATACATGAATATGGGTATGGTCAAACTGACCATGCCTGTGCAGAGTGAAATCATCAGTGTGAATGGATACCTTCCAAGGATTTTCAAGGGATTCACATTTGCTGACATCCCTGCCAACATTGGTAGCAGGAACAACAAGACCAGCAGCACAGTCACCCCAAATACTACAATCAATGGTTCATCATCCATCATCCATCATATGAATGGGGTATGCATATATATACACTGAGCTTTGGCTAATAAACTATTGGTTCCCAGACAAATCCCTCAGTTAACAAACCAACATTTGGCCAACAAACCTTATGCTTTGGGGAAAATCTCAATTTGAAAAGTCATTACTTTGGTTTTGGGCTGAAATGTGTGGTAAAATGTAAGTGCAAATGATTCACCAATATATGCACTGATATGAAAATTCCTTCCTCCTAATAATTCAAAATGTGTGACATTTCATTTTATTGTTTGTTTCAGCTATATTATTCACATGCTTTTCTGTGACAGAATTACTGTATTTGCTTTTGGTCTTGGTTTTTCTACACTATATTGTTAAACTATTTTGTTGGAAAGGTCTATTTTATTTTTATTTGCAGGGCTAAAAAACCAGTTTCATCTTCACCAGACATGTTTTCATCAGTGTCTGAGTTTCTCTGCATGGATGTTAAGCTTTAATCTTTGTTTTCATCAATGCCTTTTTCATGTAACACCATAAAAACATTCTGAGTTCATAAAAGATGCAGGAAAAAGTATTTTAGTTTGTAGTGGATGGTCTTCAATTTTGTACATTTGATGTTCAATTTTCTTTTGGTGTTACAAAATGAATTAAGTTCTTCCCAATTGAAGTCCAAGGGAAAATACAATTTGGTTGACAAACTTTTGTCTGGAACCAACCAAGTTCATCAACCAAGGGTCCACTGTATATACCTCAAAAAGTAATGCACTAACCAGCAGTCAATCCTTTGTAATGCATAACCACTTCCAAGGGCACAGGATACTTCATTGCAGTGGACATTGCAGACAGTGCCAGAAATGGTGGGGAAAATGCCAAAAGCCAGTTGAACAAAGGAACAAACATGCATGTGGCTTGAGCTATGATGATCCTCAGTGTTTTCCCCAGGGGCTTGAGCCATGCTATCACAATGCCCACCAGTAAGAACATGGTCAACAGGCCAAGATCATTTGGTGCAAATATGGTTTCTGGGTCTTTGATTGCCTTCTCCTTTTCCATAAAGTTTGGAGGGTACTTCAAAGTTGTCACCTTCCTCCTGTACATTTGCACAAAGACCCTTTTTGAGTTATACCATTTCAAATAATATTATGTTGTTATATATACACACTGAAATCCACTGAGGATTGGAGACATTGGCATGAAGGACCCAATGAAGTCCTTTGGAATATAGGCAATCATTTGCAGGTGCTCTCTCTCACCAAATGAGTCATAGATGGTGCCATTTTGCAGCAGTTCATCTGGTCTTGCTCTCCCACTTTGTGTCCAGAAGTAGTAGTTCCACCCAAATGTCATTGCACCACAAAGTGTGTGGAAAATGATGGATAGCATTATGATTGTTAAAAAGAGAGCAAAAATGTCCTTCTCAAGCCTCAAGGTGAAGTGGACCACAACAACTGCAATAATTATGACATTTTTTGCATTAATTATCCATAATTATTTGGCAATGCTGGACTCGCACAGCAAAGGATAGGTTGATACCAAATCCTGATCAGATTGAAGAACATTCTTGCTGGGAAGTCCAGCAGGCTGATGAGAGCATAACGTTGGAGTGTATGGTGACTTGTTTTGTTTAGTATTGTTCCAATGGCAAAGCCTAAAATGGCACCTAAGATGGCCATGATTAATCTGTGGTGCTTCACAAAGGTTGGTCTAACATTGGTGACCACTCCCAGTAGATTCAAGACAAATGGCTTTTGAGGATGGATATTGACAGTGGATCCCAGGCTTTCAGTTGATATCTTGCTCTCTGATGAATACCGTAAAATCTTGTTACAACAAATACCGTGAAAACCAATTTGTCAGTACAACAAACTTTATTCAAAATACTGGCAGAAATTCAAAAGGGTACATGTTAGAAAAATCTTTTTACAACTACAAACTCTACAATTCCAGTATAACACCCTTTTTTGAGGAACATTATTTTATTTTTCAAATGAAACATTTCCAATGAATGCAGGCACAGTCTCAAATTTCCCCATAATGTGATAGCAAACTTTTTCTGAAGTGCCAAAAGTTTGTTGTAAAAAGATTCTACTGCATGAAGAAATAACCCTTCAAATTGACATGCATCAAATGCTAAAATGGTAAAGGTTCACCTGGAGGAAGTTTTGAGCTGGATGTGGAACCAATAGAGGTTGAAGAGCCATGCATACCTGCCATTATGTCACAATATATATGAGACTAAATCTTCACACAGTCAATAGGGTGTATAATAATCAAATCAAACAGAACACAATTATTCTCTGTGTAGCCACTCAGACTGTATCATCCTTCAGCAATACTCTTCATATTATTGTGCCTTCAAAATGTCATATTCAGCTGAGAAACTTGACAAGGTTCTGGACAACATTGAGAGCCTTTTGAAGGCTGGGAGACCCCTACATGCTTATGAAGTCAGTAATTTTCATTCAATTAAATGAAATCTGGTTAATTTTAATTTGAATCCTTTTCTTTGCAGATTTTGGACAAGCTCTACTTCACAGTGAACCTCCAGATGGAAAAAAGAGGAAACCCTGAATACATTGCTGCACTAATTGCAGCAAGTGGGTTTGCTGAGAACATGTTTTGGTTGGTGGCAGAGCACAGACTGAAAACTGTTTACAGTCTGAATGCTGACATTGCTCCACACTTGGTTTCTTACCTAAGGATTATTGAGAGGGGGGAGAAGCTTGACCAGCACTATGCAGTAAGCAGACAAATTCCTATACATCACTGTGTTCAGATAAATTATAACCCCACCCTTGCATGCATATGCTGTATACAGTATACTAAAACAATTAGACCGTGTTCTGAAATACACGTGGTACCTGACAATTCAATCCCTTGTCAGACTTTGGTCAAATTTCAAAGTGGTCAAATTGCAAGACACTTTGTAAAATTGAGAAATACTGTATCAGCACAAAAAATGTGACAAAAGTGGTTGAAGCAGGTCAAATTTCAGGGCAGAGGTAAAAAATGTGTCAATGTCTCTGCCAATTTGACCATTGAATTATTGTGGGATGGTTGAATTGCAGGAGGTCAAAATGCAAGGTACTATCTGTACAATAAAAATGGAATCAGTTCAAGTGCACCTGTCCACTTATCTTGAAACTAATTTATGCTTTGTTCATACATTGATGAGTACATCAGAACTCCCTGGACTTTCCTCCTTAATTAAAAAAAATATTTCAGCCTTTATGTATAAGAGAATGCAGATCTTTACACTGATTCATGTAATTTGTCTGCTGAAAAAGGTAAAACACCTGTATGTCTTGTGAAAGGAGTGCAGCTGAGGTAAAACCAACTATTTTGAAACTATTGAAACTATTTTTACAGTTAGTGTACCATAGTCCATAAAACAAAAAACAGTTCAAGAAATGAAAAAAAACATTAAGACTGTTACTGAAATCAAATAATGTTTTCTGCTTCATTACATCACTAAATAAAAAATATTGTACATATTTATATTTTGTTATCCAGGAAATACTCGGGTTTGTTTCCAAGACCTCCTTTTTAAATTGCACCTTACTTTGAGGAAGCAAACAAGGTTTTTGCCTTGCAGCTGTTCCCCTTG